ATTTATCGAGGAAGGGTATAGGCTATAAAACATCACGCTACGACTAATAGGAGCAGAAAAAAGCGGGAGAAAAAGCACGAGAATAGCTAGTGTAATCACATGACTATGACTCGTAACATAACTGAAGAAAAGTGGGTGTAACATTGTATATATCCTCCTTCGGTCTACTTCTTCAGGAAATATAAGACGTGAATATATGTATTTACGTTTATATGTTTATATGAAACAGAAATTGACTTCGTTACCCTTTAATCTATGCTATGAAAGTCTCGACAGTCAAAGAGTTAACCAAACGGTGTTTCTACATACTAAATCAACACATTACATTAAATATTATACAAACAAGTACGTAATAATAATATCACGGCATATTTGAAGGTATTGCGTGACAGGCTCAGAGGGCTCTTAGCCCCGAGGACGACGTAATTTAATTACCCATGTAAAGTATGAACAAACAATATATTCATTTTACAAAATTACCTCTATTCGTTGAAGGTACTTGAATAAAACTGATTATGGAGATAGGATTTCATAGCTTAAACCTAAATATGAAAATAGTGTGTAGTATGAGCCATTCATAATTTAATTTCTTTTTTTTATATTTGATGGACCGACGTTTGGTCACTATCTCGCGTGTTGGTAAGCGATGATGCCTACTGCGAGTGATGAGCTACGACGGAGCACGTCAGGCCTTGAAAACACCCAGGTTACTCTACTCTTCAGAAATCACAGACTACGGCAAGAAATTTAGGTTTTTTATGGATTTACGTAATGTTAATTTATTTTATTTATTTACTAGTTGTGCCCGCGATTTCGTCCGTGTAGTAATAGTGATTCACAGGTCCTCGCCCGTTGGTGATAGCATGATAATATGTAGACTATATGTTGACCCGACCTGTTAGTAATAATAAAGACTATATATTTTTTATAATAACTATCGTGAGACATACTAAATTCGCAATTGGCGATGTCGCGTAGCCTACTGTACAGTAGCCGCGACCGCGCACGCTGCTCATGAGGAAGAACTCCTCTGTGATTCGAAACTAGTAGAGCTTGTCTCAGTATATTCACGTGAGTAACCCGCGATTTTTAGTTAAAACCTATATTTTATGCCATTAGTATTAAAACACTAAATGGCAGACCAATACTTTAACAAGTATGTGCACACAACATGACATGCAACGGCTAGTAAACATGAACAATTTTTTATAACTAGCTTTTGCCAGCGGCTTCGCCCGCGTTCCCAGGGCTAAAGTAGCCTATTTGTTACTCCAGACCATAATAAACCTCTATTCCAAATTTCATCCCGGTCCCTTCAGCCCTTTTGATCTGAGTGAGTAACAAACATACACACAAACTTATATGTTTCCCATTTAGGTATAATAGCGGTTTAATTTCAACCATCTTGAGCTTAATTACATAAAAAAATATTCAACACAAAAATCATTTGAAGCCTGTGGCGTGGAAATTCCATTACACAAACTGTTAATAGTCTGCCTCTATAGAACGCCAACTTCTGACCCTTATATATTTCTGAATAAGCTTGATCAACTTTTATGCGAAACCCTAAAAAAATATAGACCAAATACGAAAATAGTAATTGCTGGTGACTTTAATATAAATACTTTAAAACCGGGAAAAGTCACTACATATTTAAAGGATTTGTGTAATAATTACAATTTGCAAATGCATATTAATGTCCCCACTCGGAAGGATTCTTGCATAGACCACATACTAAGTAACATAAGTTTATCTTCGGCGAATGTATTGCCTCTTTACCTATCTGACCATGACACGGCACAATTACTGGAATTCCCTATAAAAGAACAAAGTTCAAAGGCTATATCTTATTTCATTGAGAAAAAGGATTATTGCAATGAAAACATTACAAAATTTAAAGAATGCCTCGCTAACTTATCGTGGTCAGAAGTACATCTAGAAAATGACTTAAATAATGCGTTTAGTAAATTTCATGAGTCTTTGTGTTTGCTATACAACTTATGCTTCCCAAAAATTAAAATTAAGGTTAACAACTCTAATACTAATAAACAAAAGTGGATGAGTAGGGGTCTTCGGGAAAGTTGTAAAACTAAACGAGTTTTGCGATATATTTATTATAAAAGTAAAACTCTAGCAAACAAAATAAAATATAAAAAATATTCAAGCGTTCTGAATAGGTGTATCGTAAAATCAAAAATGAATGCTAATGCAAAATTCATTGAAGGGAGTAAAAATAAATGCAGAGCAACATGGTCTGTGGTTAATCATGAAATTGGAAACTTAAAATGTGAAAACGACATTTCTGAACTACAATTAAACGGGAATATCGTGACGAATCCAACTGACATCGCTAATATTTTTAATAATTACTTTATTGACTCGACAAATACCCAAACATATAATAATAATTACTCTTGTACTGCGACAATTCCTAACACTTTGTTTCTCAGTCTCATGACTGAAGATGAAGTCAAACGGGAGATAACATCGCTAAATAATACTAACTCCGAGGGTTATGATGGAATTGGTACAAGGATTATTAAAGCAAGTAGTGCGGAATTAGTGCCTATTCTGACACATCTGATTAATTTATCATTTTCATCGGGAACGTTTCCTGATGTATTGAAATTATCAGTTGTGAAACCACTGTACAAAAAAAACAATAAAAAGGACGCTAAAAATTATCGTCCAGTTACTCTTATACCTATTTTATCAAAAGTATTCGAGAAATGTATGAACAAGAGACTTTTAGAATTTTGTAGTAAATATAACATTATAGCTGGTGAACAGTTTGGTTTTCAAAAGCACAAATCCACGACGCTTGCTATATTTTCTCTTTTGAATAATATTCTGACAGGTCTGAATAATAATCACTTAACGACAGGATTGTTTTTCGATCTGTCGCAGGCTTTTGACTTTGTGGCACATGACGTTTTATTGAAAAAACTGGAAAATCTTGGGTTAAGAGGTCCTGTATTACAGTGGATCTCATCTTATTTAAGTAACCGAAAACAATGCGTTGTCGTAAGTAAAGTACACGAAAATATACTCACTTCTTATTTTTCAGACTATAGAGACAAAAAATGCGGTGTTCCTCAAGGGAGTGTGTTGGGGCCCATATTGTTTTTATTATACATCAATGACATTTCATTGGCTACTAATCACAAATGTATATTGTTTGCAGATGATATTTCTATTATAGTGACATCCGATAAGAAGCATAAATCAATATCTGATCATGAGATAGACATTAATAATACTATTGACAATATATTAGAATGGCTACAGACAAATAAATTAATAATCAATTTAGATAAATCTAATTTTATGCAATTTAATAAATCAAAACATGCTAAATATAATTTTAAACTGAATATTGATAGATTGAAAGAAGTAACACAAACAAAATTTTTGGGTGTACTCATTGACCAAGATTTAAATTGGAAAGTACATCTAGATGGCCTGTGCAATAGGATTAACAAATTTGTGTATGCTCTCAATCAACTAAAGAACGTCACTAATAGAAAAACGGCAATAGTAGCATACCACGCATACATAGAGTCCATTTTACGCTACGGGCTTATTATATGGGGAAACAGTACGGACAAAAACAGAGCATTTATTGTACAAAAGAAATGTATTAGAGCCATATGTGGAATCCGTCCTGACGAGTCCTGCAAACCAGTTTTTAAAAAGCTAGGCTTATTACCACTTCCTTCCTTGTACATTTATGAAATTTGTAGTTTTGTCTTCAATAATAAGGGATTGTTCCTAAAAGCATATGAAGTAATCTCCCAACCCAGAAAGGATCCACACAGGCTTGTATTAAGCAATACTCCTAAATCTGGGAAATATGCTAAAAGCTGTCTTGTGATGTGTGTGCGCATATACAACAAAATTCCGGAAGAACTAAAATTATTAAATAATATTAATATTTTCAGAAATAAACTGTATAAATGGTTAAATGAACATAATTTTTATAATATAAATGACTTTTTTGATTTAAAAAATGTTTAAATGTGTTTTGGTTCAATTGTTTTTTTATTTTATTGTAATGATTATTGGCGTAATGACAATTGTATTAACAAATATTTTGCATGCAATCTATAGACATTATCTATACAGCTAAACATGTGTACTTTAAAAACAAATTGTAACACCACTGTAAACCATGTTTAAGGCAAATAAAGACTTATCTTATCTTCTTATCTTATCTTATCATCGGCCTTACAGTTACAGTGTAATATCCACTGCGGGTAACTTAACATTCGACAAACTTATATTTGCGTTCGGTATAGTAATCGTATCTAGGGATCGAGCCGCACAATAAAGTTAGTTTTTTGGTGTTTTTACTTTTTTGGAATAAAAAGTACCCAGTGTGATGCTCATAGATATTGAAGTATAATCATAACAAGTTTTATTGTAATCAAACATACTTTTATGTGATCCACGAATTGTTGTTTCGGGTCTGGGTGTCATGTGTATGTGATATTGTATGTTTATAAACATCGTTGGTCGTGTGTGACACAGGAAAAAATCCCACAGTGGGGAAACGTTAAACAAAAAATATAACCCCAGGTTTCTCACGATGTTTTCCTTCACCATTTGTTAGTGGTGTGTAAATAACTCGGAAAAGTTACATTGGTACATGGCGTTGGTAGGTTTCGAACATGCATGCGTGAGAAGCCGCGGCCGCGGTTAATCCTCCGGTACGATCACATGAAGTACCTATGTATATAAAAAAAGTTCCATTTATAAAGCAATTTAAATAGTTGTAGGAACAGACTAACTTAAATATTATTTGAAGTCAGTCTGCCTCAATGTGTTTGAAGCCCTAATAAAATAAGCTCAACAACTCCAAAGGTCAGATACGAATATGAAAAAACGTGTACCGATGTTTTACGAAAATGTACCGTTCCTATTGAAAAGCTTTTTTCTCACACTTCTAGTTCGTAAGAGATACCTAAAAATAGTTTCTCAATAAATCCATTTTGTTTCAGAGTCGTTACTGCTAAAGATAGTTCGAGTGTCAGTACCTACATACAGGGTGCGGGGCCAACCCGCCCAGATCGAGTGTGACTATGAACTGGGCGAGGACAACCTGTACTCCGTCAAATGGTACAGAGACAATGAAGAGTTCTACCGTTACATGCCCAAGTTTGACCCGCCGAAGCACGCCTACAAATTGGAGGGGATCAAAGTGGACGTAAGTTGTTTGAACACCTTTTATATCGCTTTTAAGCTTGTAGATTCATCCTCCCGGCTTCCAGAAATTTTGAATATAACTAGGAACTGTATATATTGTGTTTTGAATTTATGTTACTTAATGGTTTAGTACCCCATTCGATAATTTTGAATGTTGTGAAGCTTAGTGGGATTTGTAAATGGAGATTTACTCATGAATCTGGTGGTCATCAACATTCTATATTTTGTTTCTCGTTGATAAAAATATAATTTTTTGTAATACTCGTATCTGGGTGATTAAGACCCCACTTTGTACTGTATGTTATCAGACAGGTCTTACCGGTCATAGGTTATAATAATATGTTGTTCCAATTAAAAATTAAAAAGGTATGCCACAAGTCAAGGAATTTTACTGAAAAACGGAAGTTGATCTTATAAATAAAGATTGTATTTTAAAATAAACATTTTGACAAGATTTTCATATTTACAAATAAGAATCAGAATAAGAATAATTTATTTGTACATACTCCATTACCAATTTGTTTTGTTAAATGTATCGTTAGTACTATATTTTGCAATATTAACGACTTCGTACGCGCAATCCCGTTTCTCCCATTCCCGCAGGATTTTCAGGACTTTATTCTGTCATAAGAACCTTCTCCTGACGATAACAAACACAACAAATCTCAAGTTATGGCGTGACAATGGGAAACAGGTTTCATTTTTATATGTATAGATACCATTTCCAACAAATACATTTCGACGAAGTTAAAATTATAACAAACGAAGAAATGAACAGCGTGATATTTTCACAAGATCTGAAGGAAATTAATATCAATACATCAACGTTTTAAAGACACACGATACAGTATTGGGTAAATTACCGTATAATTTGAAAGGTTTTCTTAGAAACCCATTCTTTATAAGTTATATAGGTTGGTTATCTATTCGGAGCGTACAATGGGAGACGCCCTCGTACACTGACAAAAGATCGGGATAGAAATGAGACGAAGCCACACAATCCATACACGACCATTGAGGAATACTATCGACTAAGCTAGTGGAAACGTGCTCGACAAAATTACTTGTAGTGGGAGATTTAGCAAGATTCAATTTTCCTTATTGATCAAGATACATTGGGAATGTATGTCCAGTCATTTTTGTTCGGTACAGTATTATATTTTATTGGATAATGGTTTTAATTTGAGAAGCTAGTGTCTGAGATAAAACTCCTCATGTAGTTTACATTGCCGTTGGCAATGGCATTTGGTTTGGCGTTCAATTGCTGCAAATCATAACAGGGATGATGGACAGGGTATGAAAATTAAAAATGTAATTAGTCCGTCAGTTCGGTAATGAAAAAATATTAGAAACGTTTTTTTTTATTTTGTTGTATAATAAAATGATACTTAGATATAACGAATCATAGTTTAGGTTAAAATGTCATTTCTACGTATAAAATGTACATAGAAGTGACGTCACGCGACATTTCAAATCAATATATTGTCAAAAGTATTCGTTTCTGTAAAAAATAAAATATACGTGTGTAAAATATTTTAAAATAATATACCAGACGGACATTAAAATAAAAATTAGTCATCTACCCTATTATAATCTGTGAGTTGAAGTGTAAGGTTGTTAATAGGGAGTGAATTATTCTTAATTCTAGATAAGTAATATTCCGTAGTTCATGTACATACATTCATGAAATATAATTGTAAGAGTAATTTGGTAACCAACTTTACATAATCAAAATTGAATTTTGATTGTATCTTGTGTAAAACTTTCATAAAACTGATACGAAGGAATTACAGGATATAAAACTTTAAATCCAGATGCAGAAGCCATTTTTTAGTAAAAATCTTTGCCACTATTTTGATCAACATTACTTTATGAAAGCAAAACTTCTGTTCCGTTGGCAGTGAAACATTTCAAGTGAGCAATTATAAAAATCTCGAAGTAGACACAGTTGAGGAGATTTCAGTTGGAAACGAGGTCGCCTGCTGAATGAGACAACTTTTGTGTGACTTCTTGCAATTAGCTCATTACATATTTTTATAGAAAAGTATATTTTTATTTTGATGTGATCTTTGTAAAATAGCGAATTAAATGTTATTTTCTGACCTTAGTTAAGTAGTTTGGTCTTATTCATACGAACATTTTATTATTATTATATTTTTGTTCAAGTTTGTAATTATTGAATGTACGCATTATTCTCTGAGGAAATGACACAACATGACATTAGTATTTTAATCCAGTCCAAAACTACTAGACACAGTTTTATTATTATATTTATCTAGATACTAATGAAAGCAATTTTTCCGAACAGTTACAAAAATCAGACGACCGAAGAGTCATCTTGCACCAGGTGACCCTCAAATCGAGCGGACTGTACAGATGCGAGGTGTCTGCTGAAGCACCAAGCTTCGCGTCAGCTGCCGGAGAAGGAAGGATGGAGGTTATATGTAAGTTGTATTTTTTATTATAGATTGCGTGTAATTATGGTATAAGTGGGTCACAAATATGTTACTGATCCACTGCGTCAACCGGAGGATGACTCTAACCGGTGCAGCCCTGATCCGCATCTATCTACAATAAATTTCAATTTATGAGTTATATTTTTGCGTAATATATGATGAGTCTGTTGATGTACAAAGTTCAAACTTTGAAAATCAGTTAATAGGTCGCCTAATATTAATTTCTACAACACTACCAATATTCCAATGTTAAAAGGATAAAAGTGTTCTAAATGGCATCGCATCGTTAATAAATTTCATTGTTATCCACATGACGAGAAAGCGATTGAATTTTAAACAGGCATAAATCTACACCTTCCTATTGTCAAAATTTGACCTGACATTTGATTTATTGATTTTGGGCGGCGGGAGTGTATGTGAAGAATTTTTCAATTTATAACTACCTCAAATTGCTGGAATCAATATAGTAAATACCGTAGGTCGATGGTGTAGAGTGTTCCGTGAGATACCTACGTTACTAAAACATTTACAAGAATAAGCACGTAATTGAACAATTGGGTTCTTATCGATTTTATTATTATGGTTGTACCAGTTTTCACAAGTGATTTCACTCGTGTTATTTAAATATCAAACATGTCCAATAACAAAGCCAACGTTACTATTTAATTTCTTTCTAAAATATACTGTAGGCTATATATACCTTTTCATAGTCCCATTTGCCTATATATGAACAAACATGTAGCGTCCTTTTCCCTCACTGGTCTCATACGAGACCCATGTCAATTTTATAATATGCTTTTTAAAGCATAGTATCTCTGCATTGATTTGGACTAGCCTCCACTTTAAAATCGCTAGGCATTTTACATGGGCCAATAAACTAGTGTCTACATGACGAACATAAAGAAATACTTAGTGTCAAACCGAGTGTACCAAGCTCGAAAACGTCTGTTGTCTTCGTAATTTCGTGATCTATTTCGTTCATTTACGAGTTTAATTTCACAAAAATTCCAATTTCATTCCCTTTGACGGGAGGCATACATAACAGAAGGAAGCCATTATTTCAATTTGGAGTTTGTATTACAACCGCAGTTTGAGAATCGCCCCCGGCTCTAAACGACAGATGTACTCATTGTCTTTTGTCATTTAACTGTACATGTTGCTCCTTTATTTTACACGTTGTTCCAACTCTTTTTGGCTAATTTTAACGTTTCATTTTCTTGTTAGTGTTGTTCGTGTTTTTGGTTGTTTACTGATAAATGAAACTGTTTTACATTGGAAAAAGTATTCTTAACTTTACAGCAGTATATAGCTTGAACCCGTATTTTTTTTATAGTACTGATGAGGACGTGTTTGCTTCAAACAACAACTAGCACATACCTAAACTAGTAGGTCAGATATGATATATTACAATATCCTTCTATCAAAAAATGTGTCAAAATCTTAAAACACAGACCGCGGTAAGGGGCAACGTTTATAAAAAGGAAAGAATGACTATATTGACAGATTATTTTGTCCCCAGATTTACCGAGGGAAGGTCCAAGAATAACAGGCAACGAGCAAGAGAATAGAAGAGGGGACTCCTTATTCCTCAACTGTACGTCGGGACGATCCTACCCTGCGGCAGTACTCAGTTGGGACATTGATGGAGAAAAGGTACTATTAAAACATTTTGAACGAAAAATATTGACATTTACGAGACAAGCGATGTTTTCGATTTCAGTTTTGATAGAGGTTAAATAATTGTTTTTGTTTTTTGTTTATACTCCTTTTATATTACGGTTGAGTAAACTTCGTATATCATTTTTTGATAATATCTGTTTCCTTACGAAACTTCCTGTTTTTCGAAATATTGGAACATTTTGCCTTTGAGCTATAGGTCTATGAGTCGCTTCCTAAAGTCATTTTATTAGTCGCAGATATAGTCTGAGTTTATTTAGTTAAGAATCTGTATTGTATTGCCAAGAGGTGTACACTTTTACTAAATCGTCAAAAATACCAGGTTTGATATTACATCACTGGTAGAAAGGAAATTGGACGAAATTCCAGCGCAATCCCGTAATTTTACGAAACCATATCCACATTTTCGTGGTCTCGTAACTCGATAGTCCGCTGCGGCCAGTCGTGAGGGGACATAATGCATTATGCGTCCATTACCCACCGTGCTGCCAACTAATCCGCTCGTTGTCGACCAACTACTCACATCAATCAATCTTCTAGACACAGCTTGCATAACCATTAACAGAACTTGCACTACTTTTTACATTCCCCCTTTTTCCCCCTTCCAAATTAGACCTTGTCTTATTTACTTAATTACTATCTCTTATTCGCCAATATTTTCTTATATCAGAAAACGTCTGAAGAAAATAATAATCCCACTTAAGACCCATTCAAGGCATAATATAAAGTTTACGTTTATTATCAACGAACTCTTGGCGCCTATAAAGAAGACGATCAAAAATATTATGACATAAATACAGCTATTTATTCGCTCAAATTACAATATGACTTTTTTATATTTTATACCGAACTTTTAATGGTATAACCACAAAGTAATTAATGTGGATCCATTAACTGCAAGTTAATTAAGTTGTTTTAATTTTGATCGGTCCGTAATACAATATTACACGTACCGAGTAGATTTAATTTCTGGCCAACGATCCTTATTAATATAATTGTTCGGCCAGATATTTGACCCTTTTCAACGAGTTTCTGTAATTCGAGTCTTATATCCAATAAGGTTTTTTCAAATTTTAACTTTGTTCGAATCCTTACTGGGGCTTATTGAAGTGCGGGTTCGTATTTATCTTTTATTTCTGATTTGGCCCGAGTTTGTTTTTTGTTTTGAACAATACTGCCGAACTCGTCACATTCTTTTTTATTCGGGTCAAACTTGTAGCAATATGTCCAGATATATAACTGGCTAAAATGTTTCGAAACATTTCTATCCCCTTTTTTATAATGATGGCGGGATTTTTATTAAAAACTCGCCCGCACTGGGTTTAAGTTATTTCATTCTTTTTATTTATTTTTGTTACTTGGTACAGACTTTCATATTTTGTGTCGTTATGTACATTCGTTATTAACAGAGGTACATTTCTTGCATGGATTTATAATTCCTTCTCATCATTAATACTCATGGAAATATGGTATCTATGTTGAAAAGGAAATAGACGTTATTATAGGGGATTAAACTATTCAATATTAATAGTAGAGCAGATCCATTTACAAGCCTTCCGCTCACAATGGTTAGTTACCATGAAATTTACGATCAATTATCGCGTTAAGTGTTCCGAATCGAAGGATACCGTGGCGAAGATGTCATTGCCGAACTATTATAGAAGTCTATTTGTGGCCATCCCTAAATTCAATTGGGGAATTCAAATCTTGATGAATATTGAAAGCCGATGCAGATAAATACAGAACTGTAGTTCCATTTTCATAATATCTTTTGACATCGTCCTACATAGTTATTGCGGGGTAAATAAATAGGAAAAATGAGAGCAAAAAGTCTCTCGCCCACCAAGCATTCACCTCGATCCATGCGCCAACTTTTTCTTTTCCTTTGTAAAATCTTACGACACTTATCCTAACTAATTGACATTTCACAATGGAACAAATTGACAGATCTTTTGTTCTTCCTTCTTTCGTGGGACTAATTAAAACACATTGTTCTGAGATTACCGTCAGTATTGAGATTAGACGCAGTTCAATGAATTAATTGAAAGGGATTGTATGACAATTATAGAGGGTGGTGTGTGAATGAAATGATAGAATACAAAGGCTCGCTCTCAATGGATGCCGGAGGCCGTTTTGACAGTAGTTGTTATTGATAACGTAATGTTCGTTTGTAAACACACCCCCAGGATAATGTACAGTGTAATCATATTGTGTTGATAGAACATATAATATGTTCGTAATAATAAATTCTAAGTGTGGGAGAGCCATGCTTCGGCACGAATGGGTCGGCTCGACCGGAGTGATACCACGGCCTCACAGAAAACCGACGTGAAGCAACGCTTGTGTTGTGTTTCGTCGTGTGAATGAGGTTACCGGAGGCCCAATTACCCTCCCCTTCCCCAATCTCCCTAATCCCTGAATCTCCAACGATCCTCAAACTACTAATCCCCAAATGGCCGGTAACGCACTTGTAACGCCTCTGGTGTTCCAGGTGTCCATGGGCGACGCTGATTGCTTACCATCAGGTGATCCGACTACTTGTTTACCGGCTTAAGCCATAAAAAAAATACGATCATGCGAGTTATTTTAATTATCTTTCCATTTCTCTAGGTCGGTATTAGATATATTCGAAATGGGTGATTTTGATGATAAAATTCTATGATGTGATGAGTGGTTGTCGGAGAGACATGCATTACAGAAAATAATATAAAATATTCGTCATATCTTTCAGGGTAACGTAATACAATTCTCAATCCAGAGTTCTCAGAATTAGTCTGCCCACAAAATTATGGATATTTGTACAAATTCCATGTGGTCACAGGTTGTCATTCCCCTTTTTACTACAATTTCGTTTATTTTAAAAGCCATTGCAGTTTGTTTTGAGCCGAGAGTATGCGATAAAGTTGAAACTGAATGAATTTCCGCGAAATACATAAATAGATAAAGATTGGGTTACGTTTGTGTAAAATTCTGAAGGTTTTTTCCCATTTCATGTAATAACAACGGGTATTTGGTTTTAGTTGATCTTATTTGTAACTTGCGTTACTAACATTGTGAGAAAATGAGATATAACTTATTTTTATGGTCGTCAAAACATTTTTTTCTTCATAGAAGAATTGTCTCATTTTAATACGAGATTACTACGATTAAAATAATATAAAACGAACTGGTTTTTTAAGAATTTTCAAAATCCCTGTATTAATTACATAAAATGTATTATTTTCCTAGGTGACAGACCCTTTACTCCTCGTGGAGTACCCACCGACGCAGCACGCGCACGGCTTGCTGTCTACAGCTCTAGGCCTGCGGGTGCCAGTCGGCCGGACGATGCAGGTGCGATGCACCGCGCGTGTTGCGCCCGCCTGGCGGGAAGGCAGCGAAGCAGTCGTCGGGAACAGCCAGCTTGCTGATAGTAAAGAAGCTATGTTATTAGGTAAATATCTATGTTTATATTAATCTGTTGTGTATCTTAAAGAATAATGATTATGATATTATACGGCTTATTAATTTTGACGAGTTAATTCGACTAGTTTAGAGCCATGTCAGGGGCCCATAGCGGAGTAGAATCTGCGACACTCGTCGCGTTGATTGACGCGCATGCTTATTATTTTACGCCATACAACATCATTTATGATAGTTTAAATACAAAAATAATAGTTTTCTTAAATTAAATAACAGTCCTCATTTATTTCCTTTTGAGATCAAACGCCGCCTAAATAAATGATTTGATTAGTTATTTTATTTACGTTAAAATTTAACGTACGCAAGGGATAGAGAGCAAGAAAATAAATATGAATATTTTATATCAAATCTCGAACAATAAGTTAAAAACATTCAAATTAAGGGACATTCTACGACGTAATATTGTTTTATTTTTATTATTTATTACAATCAAAGTAGTGTTCAAATTAATGTGTTAAAATTCCCATCGTAGAATGACCTTAATCTTTGTTTAAGGTATCGGAGAGGACAGCATATTTTGTAAGTAATACAATTGAAGTTTCTACGCTAAAATGTTTAGTAAAATCCTTTTTGTATTGTATATAAAATTCAAGATTTTTCTGGCCAATAAGAATTCGATGTCTGACTGTATTGTAGAGCTTTAATAATTCAGTGTTGTACATAATCACTGCTTTTGTAAAAGAATTCAATGCGGTATTTATTTAAATTCAGAATTAAGTGTTCAATTTTCTATGAAGTGAAGTATAATATCTTGACTAATTGCAAATGCATGCAACATTAAGGGCGCATGTAAATAAAATTTGTAAAAATCAATCGGTATTAAATTAGTTCTTAAGTGACAATACGTAAAGAATTATATTGTTTGAGAAATGAAACAAAATAGTAATATTAATTTCAAAAGATTATTTATATCTTATTTCAAAAGATTGTTTATACTATGTAACTTTGCTACCTACATTTGGAGTCCAAGTAACAAAAGATATTGTGTAGGAGTCAACAGTTGACCTCGAAAGGGTCAAACGTTAAAATAACGCCTACGTGCATTTACAAAATTGTATTTTTTAAAAACAGTGTAGGCGTATTAGAATAAAGCAAAAAGGAAATTACTATGTACTGAAAATATATTGGATCGGAGCTGTTTGAAAAATTTACTTGAAAAATATATTACATTACTAGCTTCTCCCGCGACTTCGTACGCTCAATCCCGTTTTCTCCCGTTCCCGTAGGATTTTCAGGATTTTTTCTGTCTTAATAACCTTCCCCTGACAATAATAAACACGGCAAAAAAAACAACCAAATCGGTCTATCGTTCTCAAGTTATGGCATGCCAACGGGAAACGGGTTTCATTTTTATATACATATATAGAAGTGCAAAGTGGGTGTAACATAGCATAATATTTACATCTCTACTTACCTCTTCAGGGATCAAAAGGTGTAACGCATAAGTGCGTCTATATTTGTTGAAAAACGAATGTGTTAAATTAAATTGTTTTTTAACTGTATCAGCTTCAATTGGATTAAACCAGCAGCTAATAAAAGTCTGACAGTTCCGTAAAGACGTAGTCTTTCCCATACGAGGTGACTTCATAAAGATATTCCAACTTAAAAAAAATGTAAAATATAGATACGTAAAACCATAGATATAATAAAGACGAATGTTTAATATTTCTGTGTGTTAAACTAACAAATTCTACAGCAAGAGGTAACTTCAAAGTAGAGCTAAAAGAAAATGCGAAAAATCAGTAACAAATTATAGTGTTACTTTTAATTTCCATTTGTTAGCATCGCAAATGAATGGTGCAAGATTTGGTGCAACAATATGGAATGTAGGGGGGACGGATTGGGGGTTGAAGGGGGGCTTTCTGGCACTAATTACACCGTGCAAACGAACCGAACATACATATCCGTTTAATTAGGAAGGCACTGGTTGTTCTAAGTTACATTTCGGTGCAAATGAATTCTATTTTGGTGTGCTTAATGATTGTAAGCGATATGTTTTAACTTTTAATGTTGTAAGTGTTTGTACAGGGTGTTTTTAAAGTACATTTATATGCCTGTGAAATTCAGCAACTGTTTTCTTTTGGCGGTTATGTGAGCAATTATGTTACTTGCTTGGTTTTAGAATTTTGTTCTGTTAAGACAACACTCTGCTACTTTTTACACACATGCTGTATATATTGCTTAGTTATTGTGTCAAGTATGTATGTGGTGTTAAATATAGCAGTCTTAATAGGAATTTGAAAGAAATGTGATATGTATTTTATAGAAAAAGTTATACATTTTATCCGCAACTTCGTCCGCCTAGAATATAAGTCATAGGACATAACTGTTTTTTGTTACAATTTTCCAAATTAAAGTAGCCTATTTTACTCCTCATTACATGAGCTGTCTACCAGAAAAATTCCCATCAAAATCGGTCCAGCTATTTGAGAGATTGGCCAGTACAAACAGACAGACAAAAATGAAAAAAAAATGTTATTTAGGTTAGGCATACAGGCTATAATTTTATTATTAATATGAATATACATATTCATGTGCATGTAGTGAAAAGACGTTATTTTAATATTACAAACAGACACTTCAATTTTATTTCTCTGTATAGATTTTTTATACATCAGCATTACAAGATTAAGTATTAAACTTGTATAATCCGAATCCAAATAAATATCAAAGTTCACTTACTTACAATCAATTTGTAAAAAGTATAAAATGTCTCATGAATTTTCTAAAATCGTTTGGAAGTCCCGCATGAATAGCGAGCAAACGATTGGTCGATTAAAATCGCTCGATAATCATTGAACAAATTTTCAATCGAGACCATTAACTGCGGGGAACATGTAAACGATTTTCGATCGTCGATTATTTTTAAAGTAACATCGATTTGAAGTAATTTTTTGCTCCAATATTTTTGTTTTAGTTCAAAGCATTATTCTTTTTTTGAAAAAAGTTTGAATGCGGAATAGTTTAAATTAACATTCATTTCCTAAGAGACATGAATGCTCATGAATGTGGAAACAGTGGAAGTTTGTAATCTGTGCCTGAAAAATTGAAGTGAATCTAAGTTCTTTCTGTGAGTACAGTCTAGAAATAGAAATTTATGATCACGTCTTGGTACCGAACACAATTTTTGGTCTACTAAACCACAAAAAGAATTATAAACTAATACAAAACTCTAACGATGTGTTTTATAAGGGGACAGGCATTTGCCCTGCAGCGGGACAATAATAGGCCTCTATTATTATTATTGAAACACGAAAATGAAGACCAAATCCTTTTACAAGCATAAACATAATGGGGTACAAAAACCTTTAAGTCACCGTCGCAAATCCCCGAGTTATAACAATTTAATATCCCGAATTCCCGACCCGTCTCACATAACAATGTTATAATGTGATGTCGATCGCAAATCGCGATATCTTATGATATTATCATTCGCAAGCCTACTCGAGTGAACTCGATGTCATATCGATAATATATAGAATCGAATCGATTTGTAATTACAAATGTACTGATTAATTAGCTATTAAATTAGTGTAACTCTATACGGATTTGATCGAGGAGTACGATTGCGGGATAATCTAGTGGTCGGTGTTGTTACACTATTAAGTGGTAATTAGATACTATGCCTGATTGATTGTGTGAAGGGATTTGTCAGTTTACTATAGATAAGTCATTATATCAGAATCATAATTTGTTGACCTAAGACTTTGACAGCCGGCAGAAAAATGTTGAAGGCAACTCCTCCGCTAACGACAGTGACCGGTGACCTACGCGGCAGTTTTTTTTATACCACGACGGTGGCAAAAAAGCACACGGCCCACCTGATGGTAAGCGTGGCCTACGCCTGCAACCTTGGGGCATTACATGCGTCTTGCCGACCCTTAAAAAACCTATTTACTGCCCTCTTGAAGAACCTCATGTTGTAGCCCACATTAGTAGTCACGCCGGAGCCGAACCTTTACCTACTTCCAAAGCGTTTATTGACATTTATAGATTTCAAACGTTTGTATCATTAAACAATAGTTGGCAGTTTATACGTTTTTTGTACATAAAACATTAAAGTATCAAACACACTTTAAATAATTAAAAATTCCGTTTAGTTCCCAAATACTCAATAACATCTGCAATTAAAATAAAGACCCTTATAAGCTACTGATGTTCGTAAAACATTGGTTTCCAAATAAATTGGTAATGTTTGGGGCAATGTATCATTCTTCGATTTAATACACCTAGGCAATTAGGAATCCTTAGGTACGTAATATTGTACAAAGTTAGGCCACAATACCAATGAATATGTAATAAGCAATGTTTATTAATTGTACTGTAATGTAAATTATGTTCAAATACTTCGATTGGAAAACGAGTAGGTATCGGTTATAAAGGGCCTGGGAGTGTTCGATTTTATTTATTGTTAAATAAATTGATGTGGCTCGCTTTCGTATTTTGTTCGATTTTAAAAGTTCTCTTTGATAGCTTGGAAACTGAAATAGTCTATTTAAAAAAATAATATTTAAAAAAAACTAGTAACTTGTTGTCCTGCTTTATAAAGCAAACATTAACAAGAACAATTTGAGCAAACAACAAAAAATAAAGAGTCAAATTAGCTAAGCTACGTTCACAAAATGACCATAATATTCACTCAATTAAAGAAAATAGTCGTCGAAATACAACAGCCATACAAATAGACACAAGGTATAAAACACATAATTGAACTGTTTAAAGCGTTAGTTAAAAAGATACAAAGTAATCTAGTTTCTTGAAGCGGTGCGGGCGTACAAAGTAAACGGTTGGTACATTATTGTGATGTCCAACTTTTTACCGGGTCCCTGGGGAGTCTCATCATTTAACTCGAATAACAAAGCTTGTTTGTTTCAGTGCGGAGTTCCAGCGAGGCGCCTGCGCTAAGTGTAACGCTGTTAACACTTTCCCTCACCCTCTTCTTCAGACCCCTAATACAATCAGAAACGTGATAAATTATCTCAACTCTTTTATTAACAAAACGTGATTTAGACACAGACATGCCTCTGGTCTATTCCAAAAGGAATACTCCAACAAACTTCATAGATATAATTATACTTTCATTTTATTATTGCCATTTGTTTCTTAACGATATTGTTTATATGATAATGTACAATTCAGGTAGCTAGTAATTACTTAATGTTTTATAGTAAAATATTTAATTAAGTCTTCGATACATATCTCGGTCATTGCTAGTGGGAAGATTATTTTCGTTGGTGATTTCTCGAAAGTGAAGTGTTAATTACTAGGTACAAAATTTATATTTTTGCAGCAAGAGCTATTTGCAAACGAAATTTTAATTTGAAACCTATCTTTAGAATTCAAAATTATATTGTAAATAAAAGTTTAGAATCGCCTTCTTAGATCTACTGTTGTATATAAAAGTTATGGTTAGTCGACATCTTTTTTGTAAGAATATTATAATAATAAAGTATAAAAAATTGAGAACTTATACTACGTACTGGGATCGTTGACGATATGTAAAAACTATGAGGGATTAATATAAAGAGAATAAATTTTAATTAGAAATGTAACTGCTTCTAAGAATCCTAATTTTTGTAAACAAGTTTTCTAAGTACTTTTGGGTAAGAAAATCTTGAACAAAAAGTGATCACTGCTGTACTATAATAAGTAAGTTTGAGGGACGACGGCCGACTGGGGTCGCGCAAAATGTCAGTACATATCTTGAATTGCTAAATATCACGAGGACAGTTGTACATATTGATCTAGAACACATATGCTTTTGTTGTTAACGTGTACTGTAACTAGTATAATACTGGCATGATTTTGTTGAATAAAAAACAATTTGTTACATATAGTTGTTTTCTTTATTTTTCAAACAATGATTATTTAACAAAACGCACAGAAAATAAACGTGTATTTGTAAGATAATGGATCCGAATTTTAGCTAGTAGCTTTTCTGAGAATTTTGGAATTTTAGAATTCGATAAAATTTTACTGAATACCGCTAACAGAAATGTTTTTTTTGAACATCGTTACTGAAAAACAGGAAATAGGGTAGATGTCTAATTTTTATTTTAATGTCCGTCTGGTAGATTATTTTTAATCATTAGACACATATTTTTTATTTTTTTACGAAAACGAATACTTTCGACGGTATATTGATTTGAAATGTCGCGTGACGTCTATGTACATACATTTTATACGTAGAAATTACGTTTTAGCCCCCACTCCTAAACTTTGATTCGTTTCATCTAAGTATTGTTTTATTATACGACAAAATTAAAAAAAATACGTGTCTAATATTTTTTCATTACCTAACTTACGGACTAATTATTTTTTTATTTTTCATACCCTGTCATCATTCCAATTAAAGGCCAAAGTTAGTTTCATTAAAGTATACGATGTACACAACATAAGTGTATCTACTTAGTAGGAATTTACTTTCGATGTATACCTATCACCTATTAGATTATGTCTAGACACAGTTTCTAAAACAAAGTTAATAGCTTAGTAAATTGAAACCCCGATTAAGTTTAATTAATTTTCCTTTTATTAATATTTCATTAGCTTTTCAGAGGACTTACTGTATAATAGCTAATTTTCATACTATTAATTTTTTATCATAATTATTTAATCTAATACAAAAGGTGATCTTAAAATGTCTAATCAATAACGTCTAATGGTAACGTAGTTTCTGGAAGATTTTTAAATAGATACCTTCAGGCGGGTCTGCTGAATATGTGATCTTCGGTAGAGAGAAAATTAAATTAAGCCGTTTAAAATGCGTATTTCCATGTAGTTTGAAATGGTACCCGATGATTACCAATCCTCTTATGCAATATGGCTATGATACCTAACTAATAAAAATATTGTGTACTGTTAACATTTCCTTTTTTGCTCGTAGTTTCCTACGGGAATGTAATATATGAATGATAAATAAAGATAATAATTATCATATCGATGAGAATTCCGTATTTTTAATCAGAAACGAGTAAGAAACTTAAACATCCCTTCAATATATAACATTATAAATATTGTTCAAGTTATTCATGGGTAGGATAACGGGTACTGACTTTCTTTTATTATTTATATGGGTGTAAATAGCTTTTCCATTTAGTACGAGACGACAATATGATCCTTTCCTTGTCATTTTGAGCATGACGTCATTAAAGTGCCATTTGTTTTTCTGTTATATCAAGCAACATTATAGGATTCAGAAAAAGAACACAATATGTTTCTGTCCTTTTCATTTTGGGCCTGACGTCACTGACATGTCATTTGTTTTGCAAATGCAGGTAGAGAGTGAGACGAACATCTAATACAGGTTTTGGTAGCAAAGGAACATAATGTTTCTTCATGTTGCTATGGCTTTCGGCTACGCGAATCTTCGCGTTATCGCGATGGTGTAGCCCAAGAACGTAATTATTATGTTGATATCCTATTTATTTAGCTTTAGCTGCAAATTGAGAACCAAGAAGGGATGGTAAGTGAAGTTTCATTATTATGATTAGATTTTCTCACAAAACCTCATTGACGAAAGCAGATTCTTTTAAGCGTCCATAAAAAGTGCATCTTTAATATTTCACATTTATACAATTCCGTTCGTAAAAATATTTTTTTAAAACGTTGTACCGTGCATTTCTAAAGATAAAAATCCCCCTTTACTAGTTTGGTAGCAGTATTTTATCCTGGCCATCTCCTACAATTGCTGGAGCTTCCAAACTCTTTTGTCAGCTTCATACAGCTCGTCTACGTGCACTTTATAATATTAAGTCCGCAAGGACTCCTACTCAAATAAATATATTATACTTGGGGAGATTATGATATTAAAGTTCTGCAGATGAGGGATTTATACTAGGTTAGGTAGGTTCTTTTGTTTCTATAATACTTTTATCTCGTGGCAATAGGCTCACCCCCTATTACATGGGACTCATAACATAAAATAGTGAAAAGTTGGTGTTACATTGTACAGTGGTATAATGTGCACCTCTGCCTACCCCTTCGGGGATAAAAAGGCGTGATGTTATGTTATGTTTTATCTCGTAAGAAGTAATTAATGCCAGTCTATACAATAAACTTATCACTATCAGATACAAGTTTGAATACTAATATCGATTAAACAATCAGTCACAATGTAGCACATATTTGATTTGTTTTCCTGACTATAAACTGTTAGTTTACTAAAATATACGCATTTAGAGATGTTTTAAACCATAATATTAATAGTCTAAATACAGTACCTACCTTAATTCTTATGAATTTGACTCATAATAATAAAAAGGGCAAAGACTGACGAACAAAACATGTTCTTAGAACAATTGTTTCCAAAGCTGTCTGCATAAATTAGGATTGCGTGCCACAAAGTATTAGAAACCTACTGGTGCTAACCAAGGCTTAGCTGATAACATTGCTACGTACAAAGACATGCTTAAACTTTCCTTAAAAACCACAGCCAGGCGACGGAATAATTTCTTTTGTTGTGACAATTAACTACAAAATGTCTGCCATAAAAATATTTTTAAATACGCAAGTACTTTCGTTAAAACCACTGGGTAGCTTTACGTCAAATTGTATTAAGTTAAAACGTGTTTATTTTGAAGGGTACAAATAATTAGTTGGATAATAAAAATGAGCTTTAGTTACCTCAAAAATGTTTTTGTAGACCGTCAGTGATCGTTGATAGAGATGATACAGGCGCCTAATCTTATTATATTTTCGGATCAAACACTTACCGGGTATCAATGACAAAATTCTCAGTAGATATTGGTGTGCGATCTAAAAAAATACAAATACTAGATTAATTTTAACCCCGCCCACTTTTACACGGAAGTCACAAAATAACAGACGAAAATTATAACAAACCTATGCGAAACTCTTCGGGGAATGGCGTGATAATATTAGACGAACAGTGATAGTTGGAGCAACAATAACCATTATTGTCGTTTCATCTTCGGAAAGTTATAACGAGTAGCTGACACCCGCACTTCAAAATCCGTCCGGCGTCATTTCAACGTCTCACGCAGACGAGATGGAATTATAACAACAATAGATTATGACAACAGAATAGAAGCCAAACATTTTAATGAAAACGTCACAGTTACTGAGACGAGCCAAGATGGCTAAGATGGTGACAGGAAATCCAATAAAATAGGGTAGTCAACTTCGATGGAAAAAATTAAAAACAAAATTTACAAAACCATATTACAAGAAAGTTTTTAAACGATATTGTTTTATTTTTCTTTATGTTGTTACTAACAGGAAAGTTGGGTGAAACTTTGTGTTATGACCTTAGGGCTACTTCGAAGTGTTTCTGAAATAGCCATAAAATATTGTTAGGGTTAGGAAATATTGTGGTAATTACGTGATTAGCGAAACGTAGCTAAATACACTGTCAATGTATGTATACTTATACACATTCCTTCCTTAGTGTTGTTATTTAAATGAACACAAACGTCATTGCCAGTTTTTACTGACACCAAAAAACTGCGTCGTTTGCCGAGTGGTCGCAAGTGCGACTGCCGGGCAAGGGGTCTCGGGTTCGATTCCCGGGTCGGGGAAAGTATTACTGGGGTTTATAAAAATTCTCAGTATTAGCACGGAGTTTGGAATTGTTCCCGGTATATGGCAATACCTGTTCTGGCTCACCCCCTATTACATGGGACTCATAACATAAATAGTGAAAACTGGGTATTACATTCTACAGTGGCATAATATGCACCTCTGCCTACCCCTTCGGGGATAAAAGGCGTGGTGTTATGTTTATGGATATTATATTCAAAAAACTGAAAGTTACATAAGACTGAAAACGTAGATTGCAAACTGTCGTAGATATTTGATATCTGCTGCAATTTCCAATATCTATTCCAAAGATTTCCTTTACAATTTTTCCTACGATAAAGTTGACTGTCGTACTTTGTCCGAGTCGTGATTATTGGTTTGTTACGAACTAGTAGTAGTAAGGAGACGCTGAAAATTGGAATTATTTTTC